AGTGAGACAAACTTGCAGAAGTTCTTTGCGCAGTCGCTTTTCACCCTTCGTCAAGTGTTTTATGCATATCGTGCGGCAAGCAAACCGCAATCGATTTGGCAAGACGCTGGTATTTAGAGCGGGACCTACCACGATTCTTCTTGTAAGGGTGAAAATAGCCTGAGGTTGATCTTACGTTTGTGGATTCGCACTTACAGCCGAGGACAAAACTTTTTAATTTGCCAGCTCCTGAGCTTTTTCGCTTCTCGATTAGAATCAGGCACGTTCGCACCAATGCGGTTTTAACAATTTTTGCAAATAATAAGGTACATGTGACCGTTAAAATAGAATGACTAAATATGATTTGACACAAGCTACTAAAGGAGAATACAAATGCTGTAACGAGAGTAATGAAAAGTGGATCGACAAAGGCGGAATGGCAAAAGAAGCTGGCAGGGCTATCAGCTGCATAGCGAAAATTTACAAAAAAAAAAATCTGCACATAGGTTGATTTAGCTTCTTGTCTTTTGTAGCTCAGGAATACAATTATCCGGGCACCGCATTCACACAGACAAGATATTGCTTCAATGAATTTTTAGATTCCATAAAGTATTTTCAGGCAGAAATCGCCGAATCAATCACTGTGCCTTGCAAAAGCTGCTAGGATATAACAATCCTATAAAGTTAACTTATAAAGGTGCCATGTTTCTTCTTGAAAAAATCCTAGACGGTTCAGCGGGTGGCTCTTCTTACTGGAGGTTCACAAGCTGTCGGAAATATATGTTGATTTATAGATGCTAGTTTGAACACTGGTCCTGGTCCACATAACCTTTTGCGTTCCTGCTGATTGCTGTCCCATTTGGCGCCTTTTGGCGTGAAGCCACTTGTTTTGGCATTATTTGGCTGCACCGTTTGATGATTGCGCGAAGTTGCAGTAAGCAAATTGCAGTTTGCCATTTTCACATCGCGAATTTTGCTTCTGTTCGTTCGCAGGCGTATCATCGAAAGAAATGCCTTTCGATACGGATGTAATACAATAATTGTTACCAAACTTGCGATTATCCCATGATGCTGAAAGTAGCAACATGTGATGCAAATCTGCAAGTTTTTTTTCAAAAGTTTAGCTTTTTCAAACAAAGCTTTACTTGACAAGTTATAGGAAGGAAGAGGAAATCTATTAATATGATTCCTGTAAAGCAAATCGATCTCAAGAATTCTTGAACAACCTGATACATAATTATTAATTTCCAGTGTAATTAAGAAATGGGATTTGTCAAAGCAAACGCTCAAATTTTGCTCAAAGAAAATTTGAAATTGTCTGACAGAGATTGAAAAATGTTTTAAATTTAGTTCTTGAACTTTAAATTCAGCTGAAAGATGATATGAGCTTGACCAAGAAAACGGAAATATCAGGTGCATGAGCGGAGCAAGTTCTTAAAATACGCTGAACTGACAAAGCAAAGGTTGGGATTCAAACATGCTACAATCAAAATTAATCAAATGACTCAGCAAGAAGGCGGAGTAAGTAATTGCTTAGACCCCAATCACGGCTATCCTTTTGTTGCTGGTGAAATTCAAACCCTTAAATGAAATTTTTTGGATGGGGAATGACCAAAAACGGAGATGATGAGGTTTTCAGTTGCATCAACCGTGTGGTTTACAATGATGGAACAACAGCTAAACGCTTTAAAATAATTGGCCAACGCATGGGGGCGCCCGTGCGAAGATGCGTTTTTTGCATAGCCCCAGCAGATTTTTTGTCGCTAACGACACTAATTTTTCTGGCCGATGTTTCTAGCCAAAAAATTTTTGACTAGCTGCCAGGACTGTCGGAAAAAATCCCTTCAAAATTCCAGTCTTCTAGCTTCTCAGAATCCCGAGTTAGCAAGTTACCTCAGAAAAACTTTTGTGGGCCTTTTTCTGGAGTAAGGTACCACTCTTACTCGGGGGTTGGGTTTGGGCTGATTAATACCCACTTGGACGGGGAACATCCCTTTAGAATTTCAGCCTTCTAGCTTTTCAGATTCCTGAGTTGGCGACTTACCCGAAAAAATTTTGGCGGGCCCGTACGTGGGTGCCACGCTTACTCGAGATTGGGTGTGAGCTCAATGACACCTAGGTGGACGGAGAATATCCTCTTAAAATTACAGCATTTCAAATTTTTGAGTTAGCGACGTACCCGAAAAAATTTCGGCAGGCCCATACTTGCATATCACTCTCGCCCGGGGGTTGCGATTGGGCTGATTAACACCTACTTGGGCGAGGAACGTCCCCTTAAAATTTCAGCCTTCCAGCATTTCTGGTTCCCGAGTTAGCAGCTTACTCGTAAAAAAATTTTGGCGGGCTCGTACGTGGGTACCACGCGGGTAAGGGTGTCTATTATGGGGATTGGGGTCTGTGCGCGCATGTAGATTAAGTTTCCAAAGTTTCAGCCCTGCAATTTTTATAGGTCTCGAGATGAAAAATCTGTACAGACACACACACACACGGACACACAGACAACCCCTCGTCAATATGTGTTTTCTGCATTACATAGCTGCAAAAAACACATAGAATCTTTATAACATTACTGCATTTGTTTCACTGTTTCACCAAATTTGTGAACTATTTGCAGCGTTTTCTTCCAATTTAAAAATAAACTAGCAATTTCTAATCTATGAACGAAGCTTCATTAAACTGCACCGATAGTAAACGGAGAAGACATACCCTAGAAAGAAATTCACAGCACGGATCAACGATGTTCATAAGTCCGTTCACAAATCCTGGCATCGAATCAGTTTCTTCTACGCTACTGATCAATAAATACAGCGTAAAATATACTTAAAAGCAAAAAACTGAAATTTTTATTAAGCAATTTAAAATGAGTACCAAAACGCTAAAGGCCAACAGTATGAACCTCTCGTATTAGTGATACCACTGTGATGTTCTGACATGTCGGGAGCGGCCATACCAGGTCTTTTAATTCAGAGTTTTGTGCCTCCAGCTAACAAACAGCACTTGTGTATGGTTAAACTGATATTACTTTTTTAACCCCCTCCCTTCATGCCCTTCATTTCAGTTGCTGAATTGATAAAATAGCCAGCTGAATTTCATTATAACAAAAATATGTGGAGATCATACCTCGTTTTTTATTTTGTTCCTTGATTTAAAAAGAAAATTTAGCTTGAATTTCAATATTGGAGGTGGTACTTGCCTTCGGTGCATGTACTTCCAGGCTTATTTCATGAACTTTTTAATGTACTTTCCAGTTGCAACCTTATAATGTGCGTTTAATTGCATCGTAATACATTCATGCGTTTTGTCTCTTACATGAAATTTTTTTCTACAAAAGTTTTGCTTCAAATACATATTTTGGTCGCTTATAGTCACGAGAAGTTAAGCCACTTTAGCAACTGCCGAGGCTGACGTGAAAGCGAAAGAATTAAATAGGTATATTTTAAAGGAAGTCATCTATTGTTACAACTTTGTGCCCGGACATTGTTTGGAAAAATGCTTTGGCCAGCAGCATCAACTTTTCCAACTGAATTACTTGTTATTGGCATATTGAGTAGAACAAGTGTCATGTTATAAGCTATTAATGAAAGCAGGCATTTTCGGTGCATTTTCGCTTGTTCGGCATTGAAAAACTCCGGTCGGCTATGTCTGATCATATCGATATATGTCTGCAATTCTGGAAATGAGCAGCAGAATGGAAAAATAGGAAAACTTTGCCATAAATGTAAATCGCGTTTGGCTGCATTCCATTATCAGAGACAAATTTTTGCAGTAACTAGGTTTTTTTTTTTTGTGAAACCCTTTGCTCTTTCGAAGCCAACTCGTGTGGCAACGAGGTCCTCTTATTGACCAGTTTTGGGAATTTTGAATGGAATATATTTCGTAAAGGTGTTTCGTACTTCGCAAAGATGTTTCACCTTGAACGATAACTGGCAAAACATTAAAGAATATTTATATATTTGCTAAGGGGGATGAGCTTCAGTTGACTCGACGCGGAATTTTGTCCGCTTCTCGCGCATATCCACTATTAGACTTTGGAGTCGGGGTGACTTAGTTGAGGAAATTGCCAAAGTGCAACTGACTCTTTTTTTTTTTTTCGAAATTAGGAGACTGTGAAAACTTGCCGACAAATTAAGTAAAATCAGTGCTAAGGTAAGTGCAGTGAAGACACATTCTGCACAAAAGCCATAAAAAAACGGATCGGAGTGAGTCAGACTGATGAGAAATAACGCAAGTACAATGCATCCAGAAAGCAGATGAATAGCGATAAAATACTTCGCCAGACTCCTGCAATAATTCACAATCTGCTTGCGGATTATACTCCTCCTTATTACATTCGCACTTCCCGTTTGCTCCTTCCAACTCCTTCTGCTTCTTGTTCGATTTTCACGATCC